CAAGTAGAACAGAAAAAACGTCAATAGCTTGAGACTTCACAATCAATCTACAATAAAGCAAAAATAAACCCTTACTACAAAGGGAAGGATTTTTACTTACGTTATCTTCATAAGAAAGAAGTTGTAATGAGACTATATATAGTATGGTTGGTAATAAACTTGCTCTGCATATGCAAAAGAGCAGTCTTCATATAAAGTTTGTTATCCCTAACTGTTATGGTTCGGAGTTCATACGAAGGGGCATAACTGTTGTTATTCGAATCGTGATATGGAGGATATATATGTGCCTATAGCAGGGCATCCGCCTGTTACACACACTCAACGTTTAGACTTTTAAGTACACCCTTTTACCCATCGGTATTAATATTTCTTTGTAGCTTGTTTAGTCCATCTGCATATGAGTGGGTTTCCCTATTCACTTACTAAACAGAAACCGAATAAAAAAGACAAAAATGAACTCTTACAATAATATGTATATGGGTAGCATAAATTTTGCTTCTTATCTGGCCACACAAAGACCGGTCGGGCAGCAAGCGTTCTACTTCAGTTGAATGTTTCCAGTTTATCCAAAAGCGATAGGCCTTTTACTTTAATCGAAATTTATTCAGAAGTCATAAAATTAGAATGGCTATAAAAAGGTTATAAAAACTTTGGACTACATAGTGGAACAACTTAGGATATATGTCAACTGCCTAGTTTTAGAAATTAGAAATACTCTAAATTTAAATTGAACAAAGTTATTAAATTGCATTAAAATTGTTGTGATGGCGCGCAATATTCGACTTCAGCATCAAATCAGAAGCGCAATCAAACAAAATGAAACTAAATTGGCTTTAATTCCGTGCACGTGCAATGCACTCGGCAGAAGAGTTATAAATCGAATAGCCCAGTTATGTGCGATTCATCGGTTGTGGCGCTTAAAGGGCATACTAGATACGAGTGGATGGCGCAATTAGTCATGCTTTATAAATAGACACACGGAATTCCTTGGCGTGCGCACTGAATAAACATTAAGAACAAGATAATATTCGCAGAGACTCATTAAATACGATAGAAGATAAAATCGCGACATCCATGATGCATCACAGTTATATTTATATTTATATTTATATTTTTTAGCATTTATTTACCCAATCAGCATAAATATCAATTTCAAGTTTCCATAATGACTTAATTAGCAAGCCACAAATTTTGGACAAACAAAAACTGTCAAATTTCTGGCCAAATATTAACGCTAATTTAACAAGTTAACGAGCTGTAGCCATTTTCAATTAGCGCGAATATAAAAAAAATTAATAGCTCCGACAAATCAAGTCAAGTCGGAGCTTAGAATGTTTAAGCTCTAGCTCTAAGCTTCTCAGCGGAATGCAAAGCTCTCGCTGCAGGTGCGATGTATTTTTCGAAAAGGGCATTCCGATAGTTGGAGTCAACAGTGGCAATAGTGACGTCACTAAATATATTAAATACCAACTGGCTATTGAAAACAAATCCTTATTCAAACGAAATCTTAAGCTTCTCACCGGAATGCAAAGCTCTCGCTGCAGGTGCGGTGTACTATACTTTATGGAAAAGGGCATTCCGATAGTTGGAGTCAACAGTGGCAATAGTGACGTCACTAAATATATTAAATACCAACTGGCTATTGACAACAAATCCTTATTCAAACGAAATCGGTGCATGAATCACACACGAAAGTTTTGTAGGAGAAAACCCCAATGAAAAATGAAAATAAATAAAATCGAATAAAACTGCACACTCATTCGGCCACAGACCGGCAATTAGCGCGCCCCTCCCGCTGCGTCACCTCAACACTTCACTGGCCAGGGAGCTGCTGTTCGGTTCCACTTAATACTCACAAATTATGCACACGCATAAACATGAAATGAAGTTGGAGATGCGGATGAAAGGCTGGGAGAACCGTTGGCCAGGCCTACTCAACCACACAACCACCTCATTATACTGCTCTTAAACAAGTTTTGAGATTTGTTCGTGATTATTGCTTGAGGGGCGTTGCGAGGGGGGCTTGGCAACTCAACAGGTAGGCCTGTCGGCTTGCAGCTTATTTTGCAGCTCTGAAAATTCTCTCCGACAGCTTCAAACAAAGTTTAGAGAAACCTGTTTTTTATTTCAATATTTTTTGCAGGCCATCGGTGGGGGAGGTGCGGCTCCTACATACAAGTACATTGGTATTTCGCTTGGATTGAGTGTTGGATGATTATTGTTTTTATCATTTTTTGCAGAGCTTCGGAAACCTGAGTATGCAAGTGCTTAATATATGTACACAGTAAGAATTAAGGGGAACATAGCACTGAATAGAAATACGTACATATAGAATGCTTTGGGAAAAGCACGGCTTACTTTTAAGTATTAGTCAAGTATTGAAAATATAACCAAATTATTTCTACAACTTATGACAAAGATAAGGTAAGCTAGAAAAGATATATATACTGTAGAATAAATGTGATTCAAGACTCGCTTAAAACCAAATCAAACAAACACGCTAGAAGATTTTTTTCACTAAATATTTTTATCCCATACAACCCAACACAAAAAGCAAAGAACAAACTCCTTACAATCAATAATTTGTATAGCCTACAATGGAAGTGTTTTATGTTCACTTAAAAGAAAAAGAAGCATAAAAACAACCTCCTGATATTCTCTTTTGATAGATTACTCTATAAAAAATTCTTCTTTGGGCATACATTTTTAAAATGAAAACAAAAGTTGACAAACTAATTTAACAATTCGAGAGCTCGCTATGCCATACGAAATCGCTAATCTGAGTCTATTATCAGCCATTGTGGGTTTATTGCCCTTTGTTCCAACATTTCTAGAAGTTCATGAAATCGAACACCACTTCGGAATCAGATAATAGCAGTATAGACATATAGTAGAACGATATTTCAATCAACAATCACCATTTTTGATTGGGGTTAAAATATAAGTTTCTTCAAATAAATACATACTTGAATAATTCGAAATAATAATATAATATTCCAGGAAGATTTAAGTGCACATTTAGTTTAATTTTAAAGAACTTATATGTTTAACGATGTAACGTATTCAAAAATTCCATCTTTATATGATGTTCGATAATGTTGATTATTTTAAGAGAATTATCTTCGCTATTTGTCTTCCATCGTGGCTTTATCTTGATCCTATCGTCGATATTTTCGACCCATTATTTTATCTTAAGGATTAACTGAGCAGTCCGGGATAGGCTGATTTTGATTGTAGTTTCTAATTTATTTAGTTTTTGTGTGATATAAAAAAGTAACACATACACGAGCTAATGACTCTAAGCTATATAGTACTTGCACTTATCCAATTTGATTCTGATATGTGCTTAGAACTAATTTCCTTAAATCTTTGTTTCATTCTGTTTTCATTTAAAGATGAAGAATCGCAACAATGTATACTTCTAGAACTAGAACTAGCTAATGGATTTAAGTAAGAGTTAACAAAATTGCTTTTTTTTAACTTACAGGTTGATTGCTTTTCTAGTGTAATCTTTTTTCGACGAAAGCTATCAAGATTATAAAACGAAAATAACAAATCAATCAAAAGAAATTATCTGTTAAGTGAGCCCATTGGTTAACGAAAAAGTTATAAAGTTCATTTTATTGAAGTCCAAAGTATAAATAATACTCGTACTAAGTATATAAGACAACAAATTGTATACTTAAAAAAAAGAGACGGAAATGAATTTACCAAAAATAAACAACAATTTAAACAAAAAAAGAAACCGATTTCAAACTATTAACAGGCACTAAAAAGTAAAAAATAATTGCGTATTCTTCTACAACTTAATATTCCATATATAATGTAGATACAGTTATTGTTATTTTTGGAGTCGGTGTCAGCGGTCGCGCGCCGCGCCAGTCAAGAGAAAGAGGCCCTTCATTACGAACCATTTCAGATTCTTTTCTCTTTCTATATCTACTACTTCATTCTTACGGTAATTCCTTGTGTTTAATGTTGACTATATTTTCGAATCAGCATTTCCTTGATTACCCGTATGTCTCAGCATAGTGTCGTATTAAAATTCATTTGATTCGTTTAATTCGTTTAACTAGGTACCGGTTTATTTGTTGTTTCAAGGTAGCAGATATTGTCACAGTAGTTATACGTGTATTGTCGTATAAAAGTTAATTTGAAATTGGGTTTAATTAGGTATTGGTACCATTCTGGAAGCACCAGCTTTCAAATGGTATAAGAACCATTAAAAACAGTTCACCCAGTCGAGTGTACCGAGGTAACAAACATAAAAAAAAAAAAAATACAGACGAATTGATAACCTCCTCTTTTTTGAAATCGGTTAAAAAGATGAAAATCCTTTAGCAGAAACTATATACACGTGTACTTAAGAAAGCGGTCATTTATCAAAACTAATTGACTCATTACATCCAGAAATTAACAAATTATTTTCTTACCAAAACTTACTCTAAGAATCGTTTATCAAACAAAATACTATCTTTAACGACAAAAATGTCTCGACCTTTGCATTAAATATGAAATTCCTTAAATTGCGTATACGCCGTGTTTTCCAGGCCGATTTCTCAGAGTGCATTGCCAGTCGCAATTTGTAATTATTCCAAAAATAATAAATAAACAACAAATGTTTATGACGTGTTTGTTGTTGTTGATGTTTGCTGCTGTGGTTGTTGTTGCTGCTGTAGTTCAGTTGCCACAGCAACAGTAGCAACAATAACAGCAACAGCAACAACAACAACAAGCGTAAATATAAGGCTGAAAAGCGGAATTTCTGACTGACTGACTGACTGGCAGACCGCAAAGCCAAAGCCAAAGCCAGCGACGTCAACGAAACAGCTGAGCAAAGAGACAACAGCAACAACAACAACAACATGAATAGCAAGTTGGCCAACAAACAGCAGTCAGTGCTCAGACAAGATACTCAAGCGACTCGGTTCGGTTAGTTAAGCGCGGTTTGGCAGCGAGTTAAGTCGCTTCGAGAGCTGGCAGTCGGATTCGGATTCGGATTCGCATTTCTCGATTTCTCGTTTTCTCTACTTCTCGACGTTTTTTCGACTTCTCGGGAGCCTTGTGCGTGTTGTTGCATCGCCAGAGAGCTGCATCGCCAGCTTCGATAGTGAAGTGAAATTGTTGCGGGAAAGTATCCGTCGCCCATTCGAGCATGTCCAAGTATACGAAGACCGCACGCGGGATCTGCGATCTGCTGCTCTTCGTCGCCCTCAACGCCTCCAATTTTGCGCTGTACAAGCTGGTGAGACCCTTTAAGCGCGGCTTCTTCTGCGGCGATGAGTCACTCGGCTATCCGTTGCGTGAGAACACCATTGGGGCAGCATTGCTCATCAGTTTGGTGCTCGGAATACCCACATCGGTGATTGTGGTCGTCGAATTGTTCAAGCAGCTGCCGGGCCAGAATAACGGTGCTGGAGGAGGATGTGATAAGCGCAAGGGTTGTCGTCTGCTGCATCGTTTTGGGCAACTCTACAAGCAGGCTGGCTACTATCTGTTTGGCTTCGCGATGGTCACCTTCGCCACCCTGCTCTCCAAGAACTGTATTGGCCGTTTGCGGCCACACTTCTATGCCGCCTGCCAGCCGATGCTGGCCGATGGCACCAGCTGTGCGGATGTCCAGAACCAGGGCCGCTACATCGATAGCTACACCTGCACGAATGCGAATGTTACGGACTTCATATTCCAGCAGCTGAATCAGTCCTTCCCCAGCGGCCATGCCAGCATGATGATGTATGCGATGCTCTATCTGGCCATTTATTTGCAGGCGGCATTGAGCACCAGGATCTCGAAGCTGCTGAAGCATCTGCTGCAGTTCCTCTTCGTGATGCTGGCCTGGTATGCGTCCCTCACGCGGATTACAGACTTCTGGCATCACTGGTCCGATGTGTTGTCCGGTGTGGTGCTGGGTGCGATCTTTGCATTCCTCACCACCATCTATGTGGCCGATTTGTTTGCCTTCAAGCGTTGGAATCGCGGCAGTTCTGGCGCCTACTGTACGATAAAGAAATCGCAGGTCTCGCCCAAGAATTCGGCTGCCAAAGCCACCACCGGGGCTGTGGCAGCCGCCGCCGCTCCCCCCGCCCTGCCCGCCTACACCTTCGGCACTCTGCCCTATGTGGCGCATCCAGCACAGGCGGCGCATTATGCGCAAACCTACCACAACTATGGATATGTGCCTTGAAGGAATGCCACAGCAGTTGGCCCAAGGCAGGTGCTCGAATAACGCATTCATTCACACACCCAGACTCACACACACACACACACACACACACACACACACACACACACATTTCTGTTTTGTTAATCATTGAATCTAGCAAATTAAATTTGGAAACAAATCACATCGTTTGTTTTATTGGGAAAGTTTGCTAATCTCATCACCCCTCCCCATCTCATAACTATGCGAAAATATCGTCTATCTGGCACATCGCCACAGATATTAGAATATTTTGGGTAAAAGTTTTATTTTTGTTTACGGGCGGCACTGAAACGGTTGTTCCCAGTCATGCATAATGCTTTGCTTTCGCTTCTTTTCACTTGCAAGCTTCGACTCATGTTTTTATTTATTTTGAATGGATGATGAAAATATTTATATTTTAAGAACTTTCCAGCACCCATCACATTCGAGTTGTGTTAATAGATTCCAAAGGATGCAACATATATATAATTACCCAATGACCCGTATATGTTCTAGCAAATGAATAATGTTGAGCCACAAATCGAGTTATACTAAAAGGTTTGGTTTAGGAAAAACGTATTGGTAATAATAATAAACAAAAATATTAAAGAAGGGCCTAGTATTCGTGAAGAACAGTGGTTTTCCAATCCAAGAGATTTTGAACAATGTTTAAGAAATAATGCTGATATAAAATGTTGTTTAGAAGTAAAAACAAAAACTCGATGGTTTTCAGTTATTTTTGTTAGTTAATTCTTTTTTTACTCAGGGATGTGTAAAAATGGTTTAAGAAATAAATACTTTCTGAATTTCGTTTCAACAAATTTTCGTAAGAGGGAGGTAAAAAATTCCTCGACATTGTTGCTTCATACTTTTCGCCATTCCATGTTTGGAACAAGTAGTATATATATATATATAACATAACATATTTCAGATGATTTCAATAACCCTGTCCCCATGTAAGATAAGGTTTTGAACACCCCTTGCAGATGTCGAATTGGTACATGATATGGGAATATAAAGAGTAATATAGAATATTTTCTTTTCTGCTATTGAGCCTTATAGAGCTCTAATAAATTACATGTTTCCAGCTTACCTGTAAGTAGAAGAAAGTGAATTTTGATCAGTAAAAGGTATATTTGAAAGAATGTATCAAACGACAAATTTTGGGGAAAAAAATGGGTAGAGTAAAGTCAAAGAGAAAATTAGATTGGAAATATTTCATTCGAAATATCGAAATGTTCTTGAAAGAATAATCCTAACATTTTATATTCAAAAAGTTGTTTCAAAGATAATCCTAATACTCTATATACAAAAAGTTGTTTCTAATTATATATCCATTGAACAATTTTGAGTAGATTAGCGGAGAGTATTTAGTTTCTACACAATTCTTTATATTCTAATTTTCACAGTTCGATTCTGATTTCAAAGAGCGAATAAAGATGATCAACAAGCATACATTCCAATAGTCTTAGAACATAGTTCTTCGCTTAGATCGGGAACATACAAATCCGCAAAGTTATTCAAAATATTTTACATAAATAGGCCGCAAACTAAACAGTTACTTTAGCTTTTGTGCAGCATTTGTTCGCATATTTGCCAAAGATCGTCAGTAATGTGTTGACTGAGAATAAAGAGCCCATTCGGAGACCCACAGCCCACAACTGAAACGAACTAGCCACATTGCTAACTAAAACTAAAAGCGACTTTAGAAATGTTGTATAAATTACCAGAAATTAGCATACTTAAGCAATCGATGGACGGAGAGTGCAAAACACGCCACAGACCCAAGAATCTAGTGACCTCCAGTGGTGTCTCGCTATCTGGCTGGCTGCATTGTTTCAAAAGCGAACGGGGGAACAAAACAAAGAACAAGATTTTGAAACAAGTTTTCTTTAAGCATTTAGTGTGTGTGTGTTTCTTTTTTTTTTTTTTTGATGGGGGTATTTAAATTTTAGAAACGGCCATTACTATGGCCGGGCTAGTCCAAAAATCCAGCAGCCGAGGGTCCGAGCGGTTAGTGTGAAAATGTGTGGCAATCCGAATACTCGTCTGCTCTCGCGTCTCATCATCGACTTTCTGCTGCTGCTGGCCGTCTACTGTGTGGCTCTGGTGGTGCTGCCCCAGCTCTTGCATACTTTCGAGCGTGGCTTTCACTGCAGCGATGCCAGCTTGCATTATCCCTATCGCCAGCCGTGGCTCACCAAGATCCACTTGACCATTTTGGTGATCGCCTTGCCGGCCGCCTTCGTGCTCGTCGTCGAGATGCTGCGCGCCGCCTTCGTGCCCACCGGACTGGAGGTGAAGCAGCGTTTCATTTTCGTGGGCGCCCGCATTCCGAGCTTCATCAGCGAGTGCTACAAAATCATAGGCCTCTACCTGTTCGGCCTGGGCCTGACAATTCTGGTCATCCGAGTGACGAAGACGGCGACAGGACGTCTGCGTCCCTACTTCCTCGATGTCTGCCAGCCGACCTGGGGCGAAGCGAATGCCGAGACCTGTGCCCTCCAGCCCCCCGGCAATGCCTCGAGCTACATCGAGCACTACGACTGCACGGAATTCGTAGCCTCAGCGGAGCTGCTGGCCCTGGTCCGACACTCGTTCCCCAGCGGCTTTGTGAGCACCGCCAGCTATGCGATGGCGTTTCTCGTTTACTACTCGCAGGTGCGAATGTTTGCCACTTGGCTGCGTCTGCTGCGCACCTCTCTGCAGCTGAGCTTCGGCGCTCTGGCTCTGCTGGTGGCCTTTGAGCGCATTTCCACCTACCAGAACCATGTGTCCGATGTGGCCGCTGGCGTGCTGCTGGGCCTCGGCATCGCCTCCTTCGTTACCGTCTTTGTGGCCCACCTGTTCCGGCAGGTGCGGGTCAAGCGGCGCCAGTGGCCGCGCAACGAACAGATCTACGGATATGCCGGCTGCTACGATCGGCCCACATACGGATATTAGACAACACTGTTAACTCTATTAGTTTTAGTTCAATATGGAGGCTGGGGTGCATTTAATAAACTGCCCATTTGTTGCTAAGAGAAACAATTGCTGTGACATTCTTTTTTTTTTTTTTTTGTTTATACTGCAGTCTTCATTAAATTGTTAGCTCGGCACGTATACCAAGATTTTTTTTTTAATTTTTGCTACTAATAGCAGCGACTAATTTAAAAATTGTAGTTTTTTTCTTTATCAGCAACTGAACTTACAAATCTCGCACGGAACGGAACGATTAGGGTTTTTATTCATTACCAGCACTAGCTTACAAAATTACAAACTACAATTAAATGATAAGTTATGGATCCGAAACATTTTCTTGCAAGCGACAATTTCCGTTTAAATTATTTGTTGTGAAAAAAAGTAATTAAATATTGTATGTATCTCTCTCTATTTAGCCGGATCGTGTCAGAAATGTTCCGACAACTTTTCTTAAACCACGAATCAATTTACAACGCGACTATCTAAGGCTGCCAAAGAACACTCCAAGCGAGTCTTCTATTTCTTGTCTTCTATTTCTTCTTTTATTTAGTTTAGTGACAAATGTTTGGGATCAGCAAAAATATTAACGACTTTAGCTACAACATTAAAATAGATAGATATTTTCTACATTCCGATGGGCAACTGAAAGCACTTTCTAATGTGACAGAAAATACAAAAATTTGACCTTATTATGCTTTAAAAGGATTACTAGGATTGTATTTATTTATTTATAGATAAACAGTGCTGTCGATGTGAGAAAAAAAAACAAACAATACAGAACTTATACAAGATAAAACTAAAAAAAATCAAAACCTATAGAAAAATGTCAAATAACGAATCCGGCAAATTATTTATTATTTTGTTTTCCACTAAAGCGGATTTTTCGATTACACAACTTTATTAAGCCCCACAAAAACCTAAATTAATTAGGCCCAAAGAAATTTTAAAACATAAAAGGCAAATGCGGTTTTTCATGCATTTCTCCAAAGAGTATTATATCTCCTATATGGACATAAACAGCCCCGATTTGGGTAATGGCTGTTGCATCGAACAGCAAATGAGTGCAGACCTCGTGACCCAAATCGGGAAACTGTTGAGGTGCAAAAAAAATCGCTATACCAGCAGATATAGTCACCACCTGCGAGCTCACTGAAACAAGCTGGTTAGACCACTTTCTATATAAAAAGCCGTCCCATATCCTGCCACAAGAGCAGGCACTTTAGTGACTTCATGTGAAGAAATCAATCAAAAACCAGAAACCCATCGTCTATTACCCAAATTTCTCAAGATAGTATCGTACTGTACGCAATATCTGCATACTTTTAGTGTGGTTTATGCTATGTACTTATTATGGCCAATGATTTCCAGCCAAGAAACAATTCATTAAAAAAAGACTACACAATCCAAGCTTAGGTATTCGCATGGAAAATGCTTATTTTTTACCAAAATGTTTTCTGACCGTTTTTCCTCATTTGGAGCTGATCTCCAAATTCTCGCATCCATTAATCACCAATCAGTCAGTAATTATTCTGATTCGCTTCCAAATCAAATCCACGATGCTTTCAATCGTAATAAAAATTTGTAACTTCTCTTCTTGTTATTAAATTTTCTTCACATTAAAATAGTACTATAAGGACGTATATAAAACAAGATAGAACGCTACAGTCGAGCAAGCCCGACAGTAAAATAGCCTGTACTCTCCACAAAAAAAGAAAAATTAAAAAAAAAAATTTTTTTTTAAAAATTAAATTATTAAAAAAAATTAATGAATTAATTAATTAAATTAAATTAGAATATATGTTTATGTTAAGTTTTAACAGCATACATTTACATCACGTACCTATGCGTGTTTATATGCGTGTATGTATGCAGCACAAAGTTGAACCAAAGCAGCAACAACAACAACAGCTGCGGGCAGCGCTGCCGACAGAGCTGCAGGCAGCGCATGAGCAGCGATTTTACTTATGGCTATAACTTTCTTCAGAATTGACCTATCATGATGAAATTTGGCACACGGACACATTAGTACTAACTGGATGTACCTACCAAATTGATTTCAAAATTCCGAGAATTACGGAAGTTATAAGAAAAAACACGAATTGCGGGGGAGTGGGGGGGTGTATCGAAAAAAAACTCAAACTCGTACTTTCTCGGTCTTAGGAGAATATGGAAACCAAGTTTGGTTATTCTAGCTCTTATACTTTCTGAGATCTTTGCGTTCATACGGACAGACGGACAGACGGACAGACAGACGGACAGACGGACGGACGGACAAGGCTATATCGACTCGGCTTCTCATCCTGATCAAGAATATATATACTTTGTGGGGTCTGCCACGCCTCCTTCTGTGTGTTACATACATGCGCACAAAACTAGTATAGCCTTTCACCCTTTGGGTACAGGCTATAAAAATTTGCATATGCTGCTAGCATGAGAGGTACGTCCTAAAATTCGTTAGCTTTTGTGTGTTTGGGTTAAAATGCAGCAAAGAAATGAAAAAATATATAGGGTTATATCTTATTGAAGCGAAAGCACGTTGTTGTTGTACTAGTTTTTTATTTTTATTTTATTGTACTATTTATAGAAACATCATTGAACTCGTAAATAATGTATTATAATTCCGGATGCAAGATTTAATTACAGCTTTGAATAATAAATAATATTTTATTACAGTGCCATTGCATTGCATTATTCAGCTCAATTTTAATTAAGTAAACAAATACATGCGCACATTTGCGACACTTTCAAAAATTGAATGAGTTTATTTTGCAAAAATCTTATTTGATTATAATTTTTCTAATTGCGTTGCACTCTTTTGTACTATGTACATTTTTAATAATTTCAATTTCGTTCTCTTGCAAATGTTTACAAAATTCGTTTCATTCGTTCAGCAAACAAAAAGAAAACAACATTGTTTAAAAAGCTACCCTCTTATCTAAGCCTTGAACCACAACCAACGATCAGCAGTCAAGTCCAAGCTTAGAGTCCACAGAGCAGGTGGTACGCGTTTTCTCAATGGAAAGCTTCACCAAGATCTGATAAGAACAAGTTCCCGGCGCTCTCCATGATAAGCAACTGTAAACAAACTGCATGCAGTTGCCATCAGCTGGACTGCTGACTGTGGGGCAACAACAAATGCATTCGTTTGCTCTCTCTCTCTCTCTCTTTCTCTCTGTTTCTGGCTATTTCTCGATTGCGCTCTTTCGTTTTTGAAATAAAACGTGCTCCACATTAACTGAGCCAATCAACGCAACAAGTGGTCAACAACAACAACAACAACAAAGGCAATTTGGCTGATTTTGTTTACAAAGTCAAGAGACACCGCTGCGAAGCATTTCGAGCGATGCGTCGCGACGTCAGTTGCGATCGGCAAACAGAGCTTAAAAGTTTAGAGTCGGACGGAAGACTAAGCGTCTGGCGCCTGTCGAGAATCGTAAAACTAATCAAAGGCCGTTACATTTTATAGTTATCGTGTGTTGTTCTTTTTTCTTGAATGCTACAAATACATGCGGGAAGAATAATAATTGGAAAATGGAAAATGCAATAAAATGAAGTTAGAAAACAAATTCAATAAAAGTGAGTTGAATTTTAAAAGACAAAACATGCAGACGTTCTGCCGCGATTAATTGTAAAGTTCCAATTAAGGAGGCCCATAAAACGACAAATTCAAATTGTGTTTGCAATTTTAAATGTCTGTGAAATATGTTTTGGGTGTGTTTTAATGACACATAATTTTTCAATTTAGTTCAGCTAGCTCTATAGCTATAACTAAGTAATTTTACAATTTAAACCAAAAAATGGGATTTAACGAATACCATGAGGTGTTCTGTGAATGCAGTTATTAAATAAAAGTGACCATTTAAAGTTTTTTATTTTAATATAATTTGAATTGAGAGCTCATAACCAAATTAAAGTTAAAACTAAGTTATGAGTGAATGAGTCTAGCAAGCCCGACAGTGAAATACTCTGTACCCAAACAAATATCCACCACTCTATTAAATGAATAGCGGAAAACAAAAAAAATTTTAATAAGCTTGGTAAGCTACATAAAATCCAGGCGTTTAGTCAGACGGACATATCTAGACTGACTTGCTAAAAATTAAAAATTGTGCTGATTTAAGGGAAGTGATCTACAAAGGAATACTAGTTTCCATTTAAATCCGTAGAAAACAAGACTAAGTCCGATAAAAATATAAAAAAGAAAACTAATTATTTACTTAGTTCGGTACTTGCGGCAAGCAAAAAAAATTTTAATATTCTTGGTAAGCTACATATTAAGTCTGGTGAATGTGGATTCAACCGGTTCCGAAATCCAGGCGTTCAGTTAGACGGACATATCTAGACTGATTTGTCAAAAATAAATATTGTGCTGACTTAAGGAAATTATCTACAAAACAATACTAGTTCCCATCTATATAGTATCTGTAGAATACAAGACTAAGTCCGATCAAAATTAAAAAAAAAAATATGTCTAATTATTTACAAGTGCACAATAATTAGAAAAATCAGAAGCAGAGAGTTGTGAAATAAAATATTGAAACTGTAGAGTAAAATAAATAAAAAGCTCACTCTTGCATTTAAATTAAATATATAAGCCGTTATATGAAAATGGTATTTAGTTTTTATTTATCTAAGAAGCGGATAAAAACTAATAGACTGCAAAGATAGTATCATCTCCGATAAAATGAACAATTATGCAGAAGCCTTTTAGAAATTGCGACTGTATAACAAATTATTTTTAAAAAAGGTACATAATCGACTATTTAAATAAAAACATGCAAGTTCTGTTAGATAAAATAATAAAATGTAAAATAAGCAATATGTCAGCATTGGTTTTTAAGTTGTAAGTGACATTTAAAATGCCAGCATTACTCCGTTCAGCAACAAAATCCCAACAAAAACGATACAAAATAAGCGCCGGCCCTCATCAATACAGTACTATACAGAGAATAATTCAAATATATATATACTATATGTGCATATATATGCTTATGTTCCCAACATAGTGCTGCATATTCTGTGTATGTGTGTGTGTGTGTGTGAAAAAAGAGAAACAGACTCATACTACATGAGTTAATTCAATCAAATGTCGCTTATTCATTCAATTAAAGGTCGCGCCATTTGACGTTCAACGCGACTGCAACAACAGCAACAACAACAACAACAATAGCTTGGACAACTATGAATGTTTTTCTTTTAAACATATGTACATATGTAATTGACAGTTAAACTTTGTGCAAATGGCTTCGGAGTATAACCAGAAACAGAGACAGAAACTCCCCCGATGTCCAGACTCAGACAGCAGAGGCGAAGATCAAAGGCCAGAGTCGAGCCAACAATGAGGGCCATTCTTCAACCCAAGAGATTAGCGTCGTTGTTGATGGAAAGGAAGGAGATCATGATGATGAGGAGCTGGCTTGGGGAAGCTAAAGAGTGGCGCTACTTCTCGTTGTTGTTCCTATTACTGCGATAATGCAAATCATTGACTCTGCCAGACGCGCCTATTTTATGCATCATTGCCGTAGAACAATAGATGCCTTAACACACACATATGCAGACATACTTGTAGTGTATGCTAGACTCATCATCAAAAGCTACAGTAGTCGAAAGTGTGTGTGGAATAGTGTCACAATGAATGAGTCACATTTCGCCCGTCTATTGACCCAAGAAAATTGCCAACAATCATCGTGTTTTCATCATTTCTCTTATCAATCAGCTATCGCACACACCCTTATCACTTGTCAGTCAGATAGTCGAGATAGTCGTCTAAGCAAGTTGATTTATTCTACACTTTTGTTTATATAATAACAATGTTCATTTAAATTAAAATTGTGTGCCGGTTTTGTTTTCACGGCTGCGCTCCTTGAGCTGAATTGCGAAAAATACACACAAATGAGATAAATACGAACCACTTAGCCCTATCTGGGGCACACAATCATTTGTTGCATCTTATCAAAGTAATCTTGAGCTGTTTATTGAGCAAATGCGGCAATTTCACTGCTAAACACTGAAAGAAATCGGAAACAACCAATGGAACAAATAATAATTTTTTTTTAGTAATTGAATCTTAAAGTTACAAATCATCAGATCTGATTTCCTTTTTTAAATTTAGTGAAGAAGTTCCTCTATACAATATTTTGAAATGATTACATACATGTATTAAAACGTGTTAATTATAAATTACTCATTCAATAATAATTTTTAAGATCCCAGAAATAATTAAAAAGTATGCTACCAGAGACCCTGAGTAGTTATCTTTAGTATAGATTGTGTAATGAAAAGTTATATCGATAATGGTGTTCATTATTTTATCTATTAAGTCAATGATAGTTTTTCAAATTAAATTTACAATACCTCTATATTTATAACTAAGTAGATCGATCGCTTTTCACATCTAATTTGAGATACATAATACATATAAATACAAATGTATCTCTAAGCAATTGTCTAAACATAATGTTACCTTAAATTCTGCTGCATGACTTAGCCGAAGATCTAAAATAAAATATTTATTTAAATTTGAAAACAAAATGTGTTGTACATTAATTTTTTTTTGTAGTTGGGAGTTTTTTGAAATAAATTGTGAGCAGAAAAAACAGGATGTTTCAAAAAATGTTTCGACTTCCTAGATCGAATGGTATATTGCAAAAATAAATAAATAAAAAAATCATAAATTAACTTACTATTAACATATTTATAATAATATAATTTCATAATAAATACAATTCTTGATTCTGTGTATGTATAGTAGATAGCATAATTTCTTATGCGCTGTTGTTTTTTAAATAATTCCTTTCTCTGAAAAAAAGGAAGCTTAATGACAAAGGAATTATTAGTAAACGAGATGTTGACTAAAGCTATGGTTAAAAATGGCAAGTAGATGAGGAATATAGTTCTCGAAAAACCATTTTACAATCATTTAACTTGAAATTAAAAAGATAGCTTATAATCTATTAATAAAAGTAACATTTATCCATAATGTTATACAACCAAGTTTTAGTGACAAAATGAACATTTGATTAAATACTTAATAAACTATTTGGAATTTTCGAATCTGCTTCATTTCTCTTAATTAATCCAATTTATCCTTTAACCTAATTTTCAATCATTTCTAATCTGTTCTGAACTAATTCCGACTCTACTTTTTCTTACAGTGCTCGCCTAACCATTACGAGGTGCGCTCGACGCCAACACCTCCGACAGCTCCAAATCGAAATGGTCCACTCTCTAAGCTAGAGGGGAGCAGCGAAAATTCTGTTTTTTTTTTTGGTGACGTGTGGACAGCAACAATATAGTAACAATTTAAATTACGTAGGAAGAAGCAGCATATTAATAAAGCAGTCATAAACAAAAGAGAGCGGCTACTGAAGAGAGTGAGTGAGTAACAGAGAGGAAGAGAGCGCGATCAAATGACCGTTATATTTAAAGAACGTTACACTTGAAGCCCGAAGCTCAGTCAGCGATTGACAACGAACCCGGAACGACGCTAACGCGAACACGAACGCGAACGGGTATAAAAAAAAACAACACCACAAAAAAATAAAAACGAACCAAACCAAAAGCTAATTACGCGCCACCACAAAAAACCAAAAAAAAAAAGAGAATTGTAATATTAACTAATTAAGAACGCATCGAGAAAACCAGACGACACACAAAATGCGCGATGTGGCAGAGAACGGGGCGGGTGCGGAGGCCCCGCAGAGTGTTTCGGAGCCGGCGAGCAGCGCGCAGACGCAACGAAAATTAACCCAAAAAATACTGATCGAGCTGGCCATCATGGTGGCTCTGACCATACCCATTTGCCTGTACGAGTTCGCTGTGGAGCCGGCTCGTCGTGGCTTCTTCTGTGACGACGAGAGTATACGCTATCCGTTTAAAGATAATACGATAACGCCCGTAATGCTGGGTCTGCTGGTGGGGGGTCTGCCCCTCCTCCTCTTCGTCATGGTGGAGTATTGGCGGCACTTGCGAGCCGGCGAGGTGTCGTCCACGGTGCAGCTGCTGGGCTGGCGCATGTCCAGCTGGCTGGGTGAACTGGGCCGCCAGCTTTCCTACTTCATGTTCGGCATGCTCCTCACCTTCGATGCCACGGAGGTGGGCAAGTATACGATCGGCCGCTTGAGGCCGCACTTTATGGCCGTTTGCCAGCCCCAGATGACGGACGGCAGCATGTGCAGCGATCCTGTGAATGCACATCGCTACGTGGAGAACTATGATTGTGCGGGCGAGGGCTACACCATTGCCGATATACGTCAAGCACGCCTGAGCTTTCCCAGCGGCCACTCGAGCATGGCCTTCTACGCCCTAGTCTATATGGCTTTGTATATGCAGCGTCGACTGCCGTGCCGCAGTTCCAAAATGTTCCGTCACCTCGTCCAGTTCGTGCTGATCATGGTGGCCTGGTATACGGCGCTAAGTCGCGTCATGGACCATTGGCATCATTGGTCCGATGTGCTGGTCGGCTCGCTGATCGGTGTGTTGGGCGCTCTCATCACCGCGCGCTACATTGCCAAGTTTTTTCGGATGCCCTACGGCAACATTATCCTGGGAACTGGCCTGAGGAGGCAGGACACTTCGGCTACGCTCCAGGAGGTGTGTGCCAGTACGCCGCCTCCCTATTGTGCTAATGGCGGCTACACTGATGAGCAGTATTGCACGAAAGTGTGAGGGAACCAGAGGTGTTGAAACAAACACGCGTCCCACAAAACATTCCAAAGCAAATACAAAGATGTATTTCAATTAATTAATAAGAACAGTTAAATAAAAACTTCAAGAGCAAATCTAAATGCACTTCAAAACATCAGACACATTTCAATTTAAGTTTAAGTAGCATTTGTAGTTTGGTTTATTTATGTTTTTAGGGATTTATGTTTATTTTGTAGTCGTAGTATAGTTTTTATTTTTAAATTCTAGTTTATTGTACACGCTGTCATGCATTTGTAAAATTTCATCCTTATATTGTGCGTTTAATATCATTTTTGTCATTTCCTGTATAAGTTTTCATGAACACTTTTCTTTTGTTTATTTACATATGTAACAAACGAATTTGGAAGTGCCCTTAAAATACAAATAGTTATAAGCATTAAGAAATACAAATAAAAGCTTATATTTAGAAATATCTGTGTAGTGTTTTAGAAAAATTGTTTCCCCATAAACATTTCTTTTTCTGCTAAGCTTTGAAGAAAACTGAATTTTAAACTAGCTGACAAGGCCGGATCTACTGCATATATCTCTTCTAGTAAGAACGCAATCTTCTGCAGCAATCTGGAAGATTCCACGATGCAGAGATGTGGTGGAGTATTGAAGCCTATTTCTAGCTCTTATCAGGCCAAGGTCATTCCTCTAGAGCAACATTTTCTAAATGGTCTTACAAATCTTTTTAAAATTTATAATATACATATATGGACAAATAAAGCTTCCAACTTTCATCCCAAAAAATTATTCACGCCTTAAACTTTTGAAATTTTCCATTTCAAATTTATTTACTTAATAGTAGCAACCTTTTTTCTAAAATAAATTTCAAAATATTGCATTAAATGTAATAGTTGAAAGTTAAGTTAAGAAGCTGATTATTTATATATATATCTGTAGTTGATATATATTATATAGTCAGTTTATTGTTTCATATTATTGTTAAGGGAAATAGTTAGGGAAAACTTGCTTGAAAGAAAAAGCATCAAGTGTGGATAAACACTAAACAAAATTGTATAAAATCATAAAGTTGATACCAATACTTGATATTGAATACTTTTTGCGAGCATGTTGAAAATAAAAGTGGAATAATTAATAACAGAGTGGCGCCTCATTTGGAAACAATATTTGGCATACTTTTTTTTAATCTTAAAATTTCTCATTATTTGCTTGGCCAAATGTTCTTTATCGGCTTTATTTATTCATCACTCTTGCTTGCCAATTTCACTTTTCATCCGCTTCGATTTCATTATCAATGTCACCAAGAGTCGTAACGCTCGGCGTTCACCCACATTTCCGATGCGAATACGATATCAGAATATATTATTTATTTGCTTTAGTTTTTTCATTTTTATTGTTCCGCTTGATGGCTGTTAAAAATAACAAAAACAATGGCTTTGGAGCGTTGCTAATGACTCATAAACATTTTTGGCGGCTACCTGAATTATTTGTACGTACTACTAGCCGGTGTAGCAACAATCTTGTTAACAATTTTGCTGCGTCAGCTACACGACGAGCAATTTATCCGACGTTGGGGTTCGATGCTTTGGAGTACACCGTTTTCTTGCTCTGTGTTGATGATCGTGAGAAATTCAAGATATAGGGATTATGAGTAGAAAAATGTGGGTGAGTATTTACTAAAGATTTTGTTGCTTGGTGCTCATTTGGTTCTGAGTCATTCGTGGTTGTGAGATTTTTTATAATAATAGCCAAATACATTTAAGAAGGTTTCATTAAATTAATAAGCGTTAATTTTTTTTATACCCTATATCGGAAGAGGAACTTCTAAATGCCAAATGTATGCAGCATGAGGAAAGATGTGTGGCCGATCCCATGCTAAAGCTAAAGCATGGAGTCCACAACAGCTCATTGACGGACATAGACATCGGCCCAGCTGTTTGTCCGTCTGAACATCTAGAGCTTTTGAGCCATAACAGTTAGGAATACCAAACTTGGTATGTAAACTTATCTTGTCCATTTACAGTGGGAGTTTATCACAAATATTATGTAGCATCGTTATTTTACATAGCTACCATAGGACCGACCACTCTTAGTATAATAATTTGTTTATTTTTTAAGATTTTTAATTTTTTGGAGTTCTAAATAGTGCCACCTGATATTCTAAAATTATTGTAAGATCGGCACACTATAGCAATGATTGCTACAACAAAGACTATTTTGGTTTAATGTCTAATGTGGGGAAAAGAGAGTGTTCAGGATATTCAATGCATTGAATAAAAGAGTCAACTATTTGTTTGCTAAAATAAAGGTGTTTCATTGGATGTTGCTCTCAAAATTTTAATCTAAATATGAAATGTTAAATTCATTTTCATTGAAAACCCATGTCTGTTTAATTATTAAAATATATTCATGGTGAGCAAATGTTTTTTCTATATTTCACAGGTTGCCTATTACATAAAATCGTGTTTAAGGTTTTTATTACACTCCCCTCGCATAATTGAATGTCACCGCTGATTACTCGAAAATATTTGTGCATTCGCAATCAAACGAAAGCTCGAACGCAAAACGAATTTTAATAGCCATGTGCGCGTGATTCAAAACTCTGTCACGCGAAACGGAATATGAAAACAAAAATAATAACAATAATAACGGTTTGAAGGTCACTTAAGAGTATTAGTATGAAATTTTCAAAATATAATATATAGACAATATATTCATAAAACTTTTTAGTACAGAAAAATTGAGAACTAACACGTTCTCTAGAGAGATATTTTTTACTTCTTTGGAGCTATTTACATTTTTATTTAATTAGCTCATTCAAAAATAATAAAAATAGGTATATGTATATTTACAAAACAATTATCAATATAATAAGTAAATACTGAACAGAAAGTTTAGTTGAAAGCAACAATAAATTTCTGAACGAAAATTTGAATATATTTTGCAGATCATCTGCGAAAAATATACTGATAAGCAAAGCAAATAGCAATCAGCGTTAAATTCACAACGAAATATTGAATTAAATTTATATTATTTATTATTCATTTATTTATTATTCAAAGTCTTTGAATTACCATTGGCATATATCTTATTTATTAAATAAATAAAAACATTAATTAGCTCAGCTCTTGTTTGCTATTTTCTACTGCCTTGCAGTCAGAACTATGAGCCGTCACTAGGCATACTTGTAGGTCTTGTGGTTCAGATTCTTGGTTCGCAGACGGCACACTCTTTTGCCTTGCATCTTGACCATCTCTCAGTCGCTCCTCCACGGCAGCCAAATGAATGGCCACGAGAGCAACGCCAGTGCCCAGCAACGCTCCGGCCACAACATCTGAGCAGTGGTGTTTGTAGTCCAGCAGCCGGCTCAGGGCCACAACGCAGGCAAACATTATCATGGCGAGCTGACAGAGGGGCCGCAACAATGTGGCAGATCCACGACCACGCCTCCACTGCAAGTAGAGGGCCATGAATGTCATGCCATAGAAAGCAATGTTGGTGTGGCCGCTGGGAAACGAAAGTTTCACGGCCCACAACATATCCAGACCAGCGTTCGACTTCTCCGGCTGACAGGTGTAGTTTGTGTGATAAACTCCTCCCGCCCTGTGCCGCTCGTCGAGACAACTGCCACCATCGCTGAGCAGGGGCTGGCAGACGGCAAAGAAATGCGGACGCAGACGGCCCAAAGTATTTTTCGTCATTCGGGACAACAGGAACTGTGATCCATAGCCGAAGAGGAAGTATCGAAGAGTGTTGTAGAGTGGCCAGAATTGTGTCCAACGCAGGTTCCTCCAACGCCATTTCCGATCCCTACACCTCCACAGCTCCACAAGAATCAGCGCCGTTACAGGCAGATCCAGGGCCACCGTAAACAGGAGCTTGGGACTGACCGTGTCGCCCCTGTAGGGATACATCAGACTCTCATCGTTGCAGAAGAAGCCCCGCTTGGGGTCGAAAAACCGAAAATAATGGAACTTATAGGCCAGGGTAAGCAGCAGGCCCAGCACAAGCGCGTCCGTTATCAGGCGAAGCAATGGCCTTACGCCGCCCCATTTAAGACTTAGACCCATCCGAATTCAGAATGAAGAACCGCTCCGTACGCTTTTGAGTCTCATGCCTCACTAAAAACTCGTCTGGCTGGTGATGATCACAAAGCCACGATTGTGACAAGAACCTCATACCGTAGACCTGTTTTGATTGTGATCGGCTGGAGAATAGGCAGAGAGCAGACGAAGAAAGTGGTTCCCACTTCTCCATCCCCTTACCGTGATTGAAAAGACTTTATATTTTTTTAAATAAGTATATAGTATACAGATGTGTGATGATGAATGAATAAAGCAATTGACCGGTTCAGAGTTGAACTTGATTGCCGCCCACACAGCAAGAAAAACTCAAATACGGCATTCGGACAGGAATAGAAGATCGGCCATAAATGTGTTCAAATTTTGAACAAGAAAAGAAATGTTAAAATATTAAAAACATTTATAATTACGATACAGTTTGAAGACCTCGCTAATATTCATATAAATTATAAGCAATATGAAATCTAAATACTACTAAACTCCTAGTTTAAGTTAAAATTGTATTTTTCTATAACTTTAATTTTTTATCTAAACTACCCTAGCTAGTTATTTTAGGGAGCAAATCCATCAGCAATCCAAGCAATATTAAATGTAAATAAAACTAAACTCGTAGTTTAAGTTGAAATTGTATTTGTCTTTAAGTTTAGTTGAAGTTCTTGTAAATATTAACAGTATAAGTAAAGCATATATGTATATGCTTTATTTTTAGGGAACAAATTCGTCGGATTAGCTGTCAGACCTTCCCAATAGATTCATATAAATTATAAGTAATATGAAATGTAAAATCTTAACTCCTAGTTTAAGTTGGAATTGTATTTTTACTTAAATTTAATTTATTGTAATTGCAAATATTAACAGTATAACTACAGAATATATATGTTTAAAAAAAACTACCCTAACTTGTTATTTAAGGGAACAAATTTGTCCGATTCGGATACGTTTTGGAAACAATTTATGTATCAAAGTCTTTCTTATTTCGAAACATAATGAAAGCAAAATGCATTTTGTAAAATTTGTAGTCATACAAGTATTATCAAAATATATAAAAATATAAAAGCGATGTTTTCTATTAAAACAAAAGATAGTACGGAACTAGTAGAGGTTATTACAAGTATATGAGACCCTTGCCCAGGGAGGAAGAAAGTTTTATTGAGAGACACACTAAAGAGTATACAACCTCGATTCTTCCACACTTTTTGGTCGGCAATTTTTAACTTAAATAAACTAGAAGAAAACATTTTTATTGTTCAGATGAAATATCTTCAACAAAAATGTTTTAAAATTAAAATGAAATGCCAGCACCTTTTTGGCAAAACCAATAATACAAATTGGCGTTCAATCAATACCGGTTTTTAATATTTTTTTTTTATTTTCGTTTTTTTTCTTTTTAATTGCAAATACAGTTTTCGTTTTCATTTGCGCTGCTTAAATGTCCGAGCTTTCAGCCAATATTGGCAAGAGCCGCAACAACAACAACAACAACAACAAGAACAACAGCCACGTCGTAGCGACAAACACCTAATTATTGCTGAATAACATAAATTATTTTCATGAAAAGCTTGGCCAGAGACTTGAAGGCGTTGGCAGCCGTGTGTTCGAGCTTAGTGAGCCGTGAGACGCCAATGTGGTCGGAACGCGTTGCAACTCGCCCGCCATGAGTTTCCATCTGAAGATCAAGCTGCCGGGAAAGAGGCATCTGGTGCGTCTGGCGGTGGACGGATTAGTTTTGTTCGTTCTACTGACTGTGGCCTACAATTTCAAGCACTTTTGGTTTGCGACAACGAAACGCGGATTCTTCTGTGACGATGAATCGTTAATGTATCCCTATAGGGACAGCACAGTCAGCTCCACACTGAACACCGTGCTGGCCTTTGATCTGCCACTGGTGGTGCTTGTTATTCTGGAACTGTGCCGATGCTGGGGCGAACAGACGCGGAACAATGCACGCTGGCAGATTTTCTGGCCCGTCTACAACATTGTGCGCTACTTTCTCTTTGGGTTTGCGGCCCGTTCGCTGCTCACGAGGATTGGAAAGCACACAGTGGGACGCCTTAGGCCGCATTTCTTTGCCGTGTGCCAGCCACTGTTGAGCGATGGGGGCAGCTGCTCGGATGTGGTGCATCGCATGGGCGGCGTCTACCACACCAATTACACGTGCCAGGCTTCAAGGGCACACTCATCGTCGAGCATGATTCGCGACGTGCACGTCTCCTTTCCCAGCGGTCACTCGAGTAAGGCCTTCTACGGCTTAGTCTTCATGGCCCTCTATTTGCAGGTGCGTCGGGTCCGGGCCGCCCCCACCCTGACGACCACCTTGCTGCGACCCTTTTGCCAGCTGGGCTGCATACTTGTGGCCTGGTTCGTAGCCTTGAGCCGTGTGCTGGATTACAAACACCATTGGTCGGATGTTTTGGCGGGCTCGCTTCTCGGTGCTGGCATTGCCTTTGTGGTTGTGCATATGGCTGCGGCTGAACAGCGTCTCATGGATGCCACCAACAACAACAATAACAACAACAACAACAACAACAGCAACAATGGCAGCACACAAAAGCATGCAAATGAGAGAAAGGAAGCTGAGTTGCAGGAGAAGGAAAGGAATGTGGCAGAAGCAGCAGCAGCCGGCGACCAGTCTGAAAATGATTTGTACCTCGTTACGTGCGAGACCTCGACTTAGTTTGCGACTAATTGGTTCAGTATTTTAAGATTTCGCACGTCATTGAGTCTCACTCTGGTTAAGGGAATAAAAACAACATTGGAAGGCGTCACAAATTCGTTAAGTACTTAAGCAATTAAGCCTTTGCCTTTAAAGCACTCAGCAACCAGCTAATTTGCTTTTAATTAGTGCCACAAAAACTGTACCTCACTTATTAAAACGAAAGCATATTGAATATTTTTAAGCAAGTGTCAAAACTATAAATAATTATTAATATAAAAATTGATTTATCTGCAAACAGGCAAACACTTTTAAACACTAGTGTTTTTAATGATCTTGTTTTTGAAATACTATCTAATTTTAGATATCAATACCCAAATCCTTCTTCATTCTTTTCTTAATAATGATAATAGCAATTTAATTTCCATATGTCTCAAAAGCTTTGCCAAATTGGTCAACAATATCATTTTACATTGGTAAAAAGGTGGCAATAGTTTTTTAAAAATACGTCAAAAGATGTCTTGAAAACTTATTTCTTTTAACCAGTTCTTATTAAATCACTCTTAATAATAATATATTTAACATGTCAATAAATTCGTTAACCAATTCTACAGACACAATCAAGATAGAACAAATTTTTATGAGAAATAAATTGTAAGCATATTAATCGATATAAAGAATTTAGAACACCATCTACTTATACTATAATTTCTTCAAGATTTTCGCAGCACTTTTCAAGCAACTCAATGCTAATAGGAACTGAAATTTAAATAAGGTAGAAAAAGATCGGCAAACAACAAATGTTTCTGCTTTATTAGCAGCTGGCTGCAGCCAACTAGCTGTAGTGCACTAACAAAATTGTTAACACTTTGTTAGTCAATTTGCTTTACGGTTGATGCATGGCCAAGAACAGCCGCCCATGGTGCATTATTCACTGAACAACAGGTAGTGGGAGTTTAGAGAATAATGAAGCAAGGCCAATGCTTAGTTTCTAAGTAGAATGTACTATAATACAGTATTTTTTAAATTTGTTTCACATTTTAAATGGAAACGGATTATCGTATATATGCATAAAGCATATTTTAGAGAGTTTTAGCATTCTCTCTTCCATAGAGAATTGAAATTTGTTTAAATTTACGCATTTTTTCCTATTGAAATATTAACTAAACAATATTCATATTTAATCTTTGCTGATATAACTAAGAATCTACTCTAATATTCTCAACATAATGCCGTTAGCACTATTGCAGTTATTTTTTTTTTATTTATTTAAATAAAGCGCGGTTTCTTTCAATTTTATTTAACAGTTGATAAGTAACTTGAACTATATCTTTTTCCTCCCACAATCACTTTAAGGTCTACCCGATATTCCTTTCACTTTCTATTTGGAGACACATACTATACGTGGTAGATATATATATATTGTATTGCAAGCAAAGGGACTATTTAAATGCCTGTTCGATAAACGACGTCGCCGCACAACCACAATTGAAATCATGCGGGGGCGTATTTCATTATTGTGGCTTTCTACATTACAAATCGCTATGCCATGACGTAATTGGTTATAGATTACAACATTGTTTTATGCAATGCGCTACTTATTGCATTTTAGTGAACTAGAAAGCACGTTGTAGACTCATGTTTCATATCAAATAAACAGACCACAAGACTCATGGAGTGGTTTGCATATTTATTTATTTATTTATTTATTTTTTTTTGGCACTACTGAATAATTCTGTGCTATTTATAAGTAAATACTACACACGTATATGTATATTTCCTGACCTTCCACATCTAATGGTATTTGTTTTTGCTAATTACCTAATAAGTTGATTCCCAGAAATAATTCGAACGCTTTCAAAAGATCATTTGTTCAACATTTGAAGTATTTTGAGAGATTCTTTGAATTATGATTTGCACATTCTGGCCGGTTTTTTTCTTTGTTTATTTACAAATATCTGTAGATATGTGAGACGTGTGGCTAATAATTCTCGCTTACCTATTAATAAGGTAAGGTGAAGTTATAAATAAACCCAATTCAGCTTTAATGGGTAATGTTTTGGTGACATTTCTTCGAAAAGAGCAATCAATAAATACAAATAGCAAACGATACTTGTATAATGTTGCGATAGCAAAGAAATACGTATGTATTTTAGAAAAAGTCGTCAAGTAAATTAACATTTTAGCGATGCATCCAATTAACCTGCTGTCTAAATTCACTAAATCTGCTTTTGTATTTAATATAATGATGGCTGATATCTTTTATAGTAATAATCGACGAGCAAAGTTAAGCCAAATTCGATGGACCTATATACTTATGTTTACAAGCTATGGA